ATGTATAGAGTCTAAAAATATCATAAACTTTGTTAGTATTATTGAATTAATCTTTCATACTTTTTAAAATGACTGTCCAACGGTCCTCTCATTGTACGTTCACTGTATTGTTAGATCTGTGAAGTTTTAATTATTGATGTTTTGTTATTTTTATTTTTTTTCTAGACATCATCTACATCTACAAGATTGTATGTGTTTAGTTATTTCTTACCTATTTCCTTGATTATTTTCTTTACATTCTACGTTTTGCACAGAATTTAGGTCAACAGTAATTTTTCTCCTAAATGTGCTTTGTAAAAAAATTAGAGTAGAGTTGTACCATCACACCCGGTATCTGGGAAACCTTCACTGTCACGTGTCAGTGAGCCATGTGCAGGGAACATGAGATGCACCATCAATATATCAATAAAGAGGGTGTGCAACTGTGTCAAAGCACAACACGGGAATCACGACAGTTTCCACATGGTCAACTGACATTAATGCCATGGAAATGTCTCTCCCTCTCTCTCTCTCTCTCTCTCTCTCACACACACACACACACACACACACACTGCTGGCACCCATGGTGCCAGCAGATCAGATTAATTTTGATAGACATACTAATATTATGACATCTGTGTGACGGCGTGTGTTTGTTGTATTTTTAGTCCATCAGAAGAAAAATAGTTTAGATGTCTTGAACATAATTAATCCCAAATTCAGAATAACATATCTTGTATCTTTGGAAACTCTTAAATCACCTATAAAACTAGTACAGAATTACACTCAGCAGCCACTTTATTAGGTACACTGTGCTAGTACTGTTTTGACCCCCATTTTGCCTTCATACCTGCCTTTATTCTTTGTTGTACATATTGAACACGCTATTATAGAAAATCCACATTGACATGATAGTATCACACAGTCGCTGCAGATGTGTCAGCTGCACATCCATGATGTGAGCCTTTACAATAAATCCCAGAGGTGTTCCACTGTTATCTGGTGACTCTGTGCAGTGAACTCACTGTCATGTTGAAGAAACAAGTTTGAGATGATTTGAGCTTTGTGACATGATGCACTATCCTTTCCAAAAACCATCTCAACATCAAAGGAAGGACATAATCAGCAGCCGTATTCAGATAGACTACCCTGCACACCTTGGTTGTAGCAAGCCTTTACAGGTGTTACTGTCAAGTCTTGACCAACTCTACCTGCTTAAATGCCCGGGCTGGTTAAATATTTGCACTAATGAGGTTTTGAACAGGTCGACCTAAACAAGTGGCCGGCGAGTATAAAAGTCCTGACTTCTGCAGGCTAAGGTGACTGATTGACCAACACTGCCATCTAATGGTAATCAAAGGAAGCACAAGGCATTTGAGGAAAAGCAGAAGAGGAAGAGGATACTGAAGACACTGCGCATGTCTATGTGTAAAAATAGTTCAGCGCAAATCCATCTGAATCACCTCAATTGTTCAGTTCCAATTATTTGTCTACTGTATGTACTATTTGTGTATTTGTATGTATGTTGTAATGCGGTCTGTTTTAAGGTGAGAACTAACATACAGAATTACATTATGTGACTGCATAATGACAATAGAGAATCTGTCTCATAAGGTTTCCTAACTACCTCTGACAACTGACGGCTCTGGCTGCTCATCTTCAAGCTGCAGCTGGGATCTCACAGTGCTTTATCTGACTAGAACCACTGCTGTTAGCTCACAAGTTAGCATATCAAACAATCTGACATATATCAGTGTGGAGCATGTGTTCAGTGCCCTTTAGTGCCAAACCTTGAGTATCCCCCCAAACATTCTGTTTTCTTAGATCAGGAACTAAAATTAAAAATTCATGAGGACAATGCAACAATTTGACAAAAACCAAAATAATTTATTATTTTCAAACCCAGAGGCAATTTGTGGTTACAGTCATAACAGATAACTGATGTGCATTTTACACATAGTGTACACTACCACTATCAACACAATGCTAACACTACACTACCTCTACGACTACATCCATTACTCACTTGAACTACCACTTAAAGTAAGACTATCCATAATATCAAAACATCAGTACATCAAAAGAAAAAAAAAGAAAAACGAAACAATACATTTGCACTTGTAGCACCATTCACTGCATTACACTACAGATGAAAAGAATAATTTAAAACTTGTGTGGGCTACTATAACATACTTCACAGGCTTGTGTTTCCATGTGCCTCTCTCTGAAAGCCTGGAAGAGGCAGTTTCTTTCAGGACCACTATAGCTGGCCACTTGTGCAATAATTTGTGCCTAAAGAAATTCTCTGTGTAGCATCATAGCATGGTTCTGAACCATGGTTTTTGTGTTCTGCTTCTGATTTAGGGGAGTTGTTGCACTGTTGCATAAGAAAATGACAGAAAAACAGTACACATATGAATGACAGAGATCTTTTTTAACTTAGAAAGGGACGGGACCGTAGTGCGCGGTGTACGCGGCCACAATGCCGGAAGTGTCGGCCATCTCGTCGCAGGAAACGTTCAGCTCACACACCTCTCTGAGGCTGAAGGGTGGTGGAGAGAAATGGTTTTAGATGGTGCATGTATGTACCGCATTTTACTTATGAATATTGACTTTTGTAGCAAGAAACTGCAAAGTGAAAGAAAACGGCTGTACCTTTCCAGCTGCAGAGGGGAGAGGTTACCAGCTGGAGCGGCTCTTCGGCTTCTCAGAAGAACAGCGGCCAGATCTCTCTTCATCACCACTGGATTGGCTGAAGAGTCAAACATTGCAACTTTAGACTTTTACTTTTTTCACGTTTAAATTCTAAAACTATGCAAAGCTTCTATCAAACAAATCTGCTACCCACCCTCAGAACTGGCTGACTCTGAGGAAGATGAGGATGATGATGATGATGAAGAAGAGTCAGAGCCAGAGTCTGATGCAGAGGAGTCGGACTCAGAGGACTCGGAAGATTCAGAGGACTCTGAAGACTGTGAGGACTCAGAGGATTCAGAGGACTCTGAGGATGATGAATCGGATGCTGAAGAGTCTGAGGAAGAGTCAGATGAGGCGGAATCGGACTCAGAGGAGGAAGCGGAGGAGGAATCAGAAGCGGCAGGGTCAGCAGGTGCAACATCAGCAGCTGTGTCGGCATCGGGGTCCACGACAACCTCGGGTTCCACCGCTGATGAAAACAAACAATGGCATACGTTAATCGTACTGTAGGTGCTCACATCGCCCCTAAAAAGGTCGAGAACGATTCTCAGCTTCACAGCATTAACAAGAGTTTGTCCTTACCTCCCATGGACCAGCACACTGAGAGAAGAGCGCAGATGGAGAGGAGAGTTAGAGCCTTCATGATGTCTTGTAGTTAGTGTCTCCTTGTAGACAACTCGATTCTTTTACAGCTTCTTCTTCTTCTTCTTTGCTTTCCTCTGACGGCTTGTTCTGTTTCTTTCTCCCAAGTCGAG